GACTGCTACATCTTTCTCTTGCAGAGTAGCTGGTGGGTTCACACCACCAACATTCCTATTAGCTTAACCACTGCCCCACCAGGGCTCCTTTGAGGGTGAGTTGTTGTTGTTGTTGTTGTTGTTTGCCGTCGAGTCGCGCCCCGACTCATAGCGACCCCTCCTTGGGTTTCCGAGGCAGTATCACTATGGAAGTAGGATTGCCCAACATTCCTTCCGAGGAGTGGCTGGTTGGTTTGAACCGCCAGCCTTCTGGTGAGCAGTCAGGTGCCTTAGGCACTGTGCTTGAGGGTGAGTAGGAATAGTGAAATGGCCAAATCAACCTGTAAAACTGTTAAAGAAACCAGCCTCTCCAAGAGGAGGAGAAGAGTGTTGGCAGTTTTCAACCCTTTTGACCTTCATTTGACCATGCAACCCTTTTTCTCCTGAATACCTTGTAGGACTAGTGGTTCATGGAACATGCATTTGGGGGTACTTTCGCAGTCTCCTCCAAATGTAGCTAGCAGGAGGTCAGGCATGACAGCAGAGACTAGTGAGGAGGTACCATAGTCATTTGAGTGTGAGAGGATAGGGACTTGGGCAAGGGGTGGTATGGGTCAGTGAAGCAAATAGATGGATTCAAGCAGGACCAGCAGGGCTTGTTGATATTGTTGTTGTTGTGTGCCATCGAGCAATTCTGACTGACAGCAGCACCATGTGACAGAGTAGAACTGCCCTGTAGGGTTCCCTAGGCTGTAATCTTTGTACGAAGAAATCACCAGGTCTTTCTCTTGAGGAGCGGCTGATGGGCTCAAACCTTTCAGTTAGCACCAAGCGCTTGACTGTTCCACCACCAGAGCTCTGGTGACAGCCGGTTAATAAAGCATTTGGCATATAGAACTCTGTAGAACAGAATTGTGTTTATGTCTCCTTGATACCAGTTCAGCCAGTTGGGAGAATCCCCCCCCAAACCAGTTCTTTGGTCTGCATGAGGCAGGTGACCCACATCTTCTCAGTGTCACCAGAGTGGCCAGTGGCTTTGGCCTCCTTTCAGAGTGTTCCAGACTCCTCTGGGGTGTGAGGCTCCTTGTTTATTTATCTGTCAACGTCCCTTCCTTCCTTCAGTCGTCCTCCCTTTCTTAAAATGAGAAAACCTGCTGTTGGCCAGGGATTGCTGGTCTATCATGTTTGGAGCCGAGCTCTTTCAGTTTCCAGAGTTTCTTGTTAATGAAAACCGCCTACAGGCTGACATCCCTGGCAGGGGCTGAAGTGGTGGGGTATACTGAGGCCAGCAGATGGAGGAACGGCCAGTTTTATCTGGCTGTTCTCTTTTCCCCATCCTCCCTGCCTGCCTCCTTCCCCCTTAATTTTATCAGAGACATTTGGCTGGACTTGAAGGAGCCGAAAAGGAACTGGATGGGCCTGAGCTTCTATCAGCCAGTGACAAGGTGTGGGAGGACAGGAGACCCAGGCCAGGGGCAGACTCCAGTTCAACTCAGTTCTTCATTGAGTGTGTCTGTGTGTCTGGCTCAGTGCAGGGCTCTGGGGATCAAATAACATTGATGCCAGTGATCGTAGCCAACATTACTGAATCTATGCTGTGTATGCTGGCCTTGTTCTAATGTACTTGATATCAACAACTTCTCCTAAGAGTTCTAAGAAGTACTTAGGAATATTATTCTCATTTTACTGTTGCCAAACTAAGGCCAGAGAAGCCAAGCAACTTCCCCAGAGTCACACAGCAAGTACAAGACAGATGTAGGAAACCTACTTAAGAGTATCTGATCCCCAAAGTAAAAGTTTTAGTTTTCTCTCCATGAGCTCACAGTCCAGGCAGAGGAAATAGAGAATATAAACCAATAGATAATTGCTGCACAGCTTGAAAGTGTAATGTTGGGAGTATTGATCTATGTAGAGGTAGGCAGAGGTGGGCAATGAAGAAGACACATTTGTATAGACCCCTGGTAGGTAAGATAGGCAAAGATAAAGGCAGAGGGAAGAGCAGATGTGAAGAACAGGGAGGTGGGAACCAGCATTGTATGTGTGTATGCCCATAAGACTGTGAGAAACAGCAAACAGTTCTGCACTATATTGCATGGGGAGTCTTAGGGCAGTGGTAGACACTAACGAGATAGAGAAAGGTAGGCAGAGTCCTTCAAGGAGGCCTTGGGTACCCTTCAAAGGTTCTTTTACCCATGTTCTTTGTTCTTTTGGGTGCCATTGGGTTGCTTTCTGAGTCATAACTACCCTGTGTGACAGAATGGAACTGCCCCATAGGGTTTTCTTGGGTGTAATCTTTACTGGAGGCACATCTCCAGGTCTTTTCTCTTAATGGCACAGCTGGGTGGGCTTGAACTGCCAACCTTTTAGTTAGATGTTTTCCCATCAGGGCTTTCTCAAGAGTGAAGGATTTCAAAACAGTTATTATTTGTTTGGTCTTTGCTCGAAGGACATGTTATGTAAGAGCTCAAAGTATGAAACTATATAAATAGAGTGGCTTTAGTTGGAGTGGTCCTGAGGACCCAGAACTCCTCCTGTGTGGACTCCCCTCTTCCCACCTGGGCATCTGCCTGGAATCCCAGGGACTTAGTAGAGCAGAGTTTGAGCATCATTGCAAGCTTTTAGAAAATGACATCCATGGAGGTGTGGAGGTTGAAGAGAAGGGGCTGATGCTGGAAGTAGGGGACCAGTCAAGGTGACTGCAGTGCTCCTGTGGTGTCCTGGGTCTCTCTCCAGATTGGAAGCCAGAGACAGCTGATCCTAGCCAGCTCCATGAGGAATGCTCAGTGCCTGGTTCCTGGAGCCCAGCTGCCCAGGTTTGAATCCTGCCCCTATTGATTGGAGACTGCAAGTTTTTTAATCTCTCTTATAAGATTTAAATGAGTTAATAACATATAAAGTACTCAGAACCTTACCTGAGAGGGCAGAGCAAGATGGGGAAGTGAGTGGACATTCCTGTTTACTCTCCTGTGAGCTACTCCATTGAACAACAAATAAAAACAAGCACAGACTGAGATCTCAGAACTCCAGATGGCAGCTGAGTTGTTTCAGAGTCAGGAGATCAAGCATCCAGAACTCCTGAGTCAACACTGGAAAAAACCACAGGATAAGAGTGCCCTTTAGTGGTTCTCAGGAGAAGACACTAAGCCCATTGCTGCTGGGTCACTTCTGATTCATAGAGACCCTGTTGGCCAGAGTGGAGCTGTCACATGGGGTTGCCAAGACTGTGAGTCTTTGCAGAGGTGGGCTTCCATATCTTTCTCCTGTGGAGTGGCTGGTGAGTGCAGGCTCCAGCCTCTTGGCCACTGCACTACTAGGGTACCCAATCAGAAAATTTCCCACAAAAGCCAGGATACAAAATTTAAAGTAAATATAAACAAAAAACAAACCCAGAATGGCCCAAGTTCAACAACAACAACAAAAAATAATAGTAAAACACACAAAATCACAAGAGAAGAAAAACCAATCAAAAGGAAATCATGAAGAGGGAATTTCTCCTATGGAGGCCACACTAATGCAGAGAATTGATAACTTTCAGATTATGGTACTAACTGTGCTTAAAGAAAGCAAAAAGTACACCGAAAACCAGCTGGCAGACATCAGGAAACAAATGGAAGAACAGAGAGACTCAACAAGGAAATTGAAAACATCAAAACAAAAATGAAAACAAAACAAAGAGAACTACTGAAACTAAAGAATAAAGCAACGGAATTAGAAAAAGCAAGAGAAACAGTAATAGAGTCAGAAGGAGATAGAGTAGATGAACTAGAATGACATCTCAAGAGAAATAAGAGAAAAGAACAAAGAAAAGCAAACAAACTCCAAAGAAAATACGGGATTCAGTTAAGAAATTTAGTATATTTTGAATTTACCCATTTAATATGTATTAACTGTGCCGCTACTATATGCCAAGTACTGTTCTGGATCCTGGGATCCAGCAGTGAATGAAATAGATCGAGTCACTGCCCTCATTTACATTCTAGTGAGGGGACACAAAATAAATACATGGGATACATGTAATAGGGAGTATCTGGTAGCTCTGGTGGTGTAGTGCCTAAGGCATTTGACCACTAACCAGAAGGCTGGCGGTTCAAACCCACCAGCCACTCCTTGGAAGGAAGGTTGGGCAATCCACTTCCGTAGTGCTGCTGCCTCGGAAACCTAAGGAGGGGTCGCTATGAGTCAGATCCAACCCAACGGCGGTGAGTGAGTAAGGAGCATCCATAGGATCATGTAGGACCTTTTGGGCCATAATAGGAATGTTGGGTTTTATTTTGAGAGAGAGGGAAGCTCAGAGGTTTTGAGCAAAGAAGTGACAAGATCAGCCATTCATTAACGGGGTTGAAATAGGTTTGTCAGATCTAGGTAACTGGCCCGCATCAAATGGTTCATAAATGATACTGTGTGTGTGTTTGTGTGTGTGTGTGTGTTTCTAAATCCTTGCAGCTCAAAGTGTGGCCCACAGACTAGAAGTATCTAGATCTACTGGAGTGTGTTACTGTTTTTGTTGGTGTCAAGTCAGTTCTGATTCATGACGAATGCAAGTGTACAGAGTGGAACTGCTGCATAGGGTTTTTGAGGCTGGGGCTTTTCAGAATCCAATAGACCGAGGTACCTCTGGGTGAGCTTGAACTGCCAACCTTTCTGCAGCAGTTGAGCCATTTGGGCCACCCAGGGAACATGGAAGTTGTGTTTGTCATTAGTTATCCTGTCTGTAGGAGAGCTATTCTGGTTGAGGGGGTTTTGAGAAATGACCCTGGTAACGAGACTGGGGTCTTGGACAAGGAAGCCACATTTCCCTTCCCATCACAAAGGTGTACCCATAACGATAACACTGATGCCATTGCCCTCCTGACTGGAGTGCTTGTTCAAGTGCCTCATGATGCTGAATGGCCTGATGTGTGTCCTGTGGGTGGCTGTTTACATCCTGTTCAGTGACATCTCCGTCCTCTCTCACACTCCCCATGATCATCAGTGAGCTTGTGGATAAACTGGGTGTGTGCTTGTTGCTGTTTTCCCCACAGTGTTTGAAAACAAAGACAAGATTGTGATCATCATGGAGTATGCAAGCAAAGGGGAGCTGTATGACTACATCAGTGAGAGGCGACGCCTCAGCGAGAGGGAGACCCGGCACTTCTTCCGACAGATCGCCTCTGCCGTGCACTATTGTCACAAGGTACGGCCAGGCTGAGCCGGCCAGCAGCTGTGGCTGCCAGAGCCTTTGATGCCAGCATGGTTCTTTACATGTTATAAAGGTGCTCGCTGTCATTGTATTTATGGAGAGTTTATAAACTAGGAAGAAGAAAACCACTGTTACCCATATTTCTAGAATCCAGGGATAACCCACTACTGACATTTTTGTTTGCTTCCTTTTAATCTTCCTTCTTTTCTTCTTTCCCACATTTATTTTCTATGTAAACATTTAATTTTGAAGAGTTTTAAATAATTTTAAATTAACAGAAAAGTATCAAAGATAGTACAGAGAGTTCCCATAACACCCCTCACTGAGTCACCCCCGGTGTTAACATCTTAGATTTACTGTGGTCCATTTTGAAGCTAAGACACCAACATTGGTACATGACTATCAACAAAATTCCAGAATTTATTCAGATTTCACCAGTGTTCCCATTAGTGAACTTTTTTCCATTCCAGGATACCATCCAGAGAGCCACAGTTAGCTTGCATTTATTTTTACAAAGTTGTGTCTTGCTTTTTTCACTTAATATTGGAACTAAACATTTTCCTCTCTTGCTAACAATTCTCTGTAAAGATTATGTTAGTGTGTTGGTGTGTTGTGATTGTTGAATATGAGGCAGGTTCTAATTTCTAGTTATGATCAAAGCAGTCAACACTTCAATATATAATATTTTTCCCTCTCATTTGAATCATTTACTTAAGAGAGATTTCAGAAGCAGAGTTCTTGGTTCACAGGATCTGGAACTTGGTAGACTCTTGGTACCTTTTCTTCCTAGGTACGCACACACAGGTTGCCTACATACACATACATTTTATTGCAATACACCTCAGGGTATGTGTTCATAATACAGCCACAATGTAGCTACCTTCAGTACTGGAGAAGGAAATATACAGATAATTCCAAACCATAGTTGAGCCATTGTTATTAATCATTTCAGCTCTATGTTTTCATCCCATTCAGACTTTTCCCCCAGAACTATTAGAGTTGGTTGGAACAATTATTCACTTTGAGATCAGTAAAGTGTCTTGAAACCAAACATGGTGTCAAAATAAAGTCAACTTCTTTTTTCAAGTGATTGCCAACATGGGACTTTCTGGTTAGTTAAGTATCCTGCTTAACTCTGTGGTTCTGACATGATCGCAAGTAATTGGAAGATGATGCATTATTCAAACCTTTCCCCATGTGAACGTGGTTTGACCTCTCTATGATGACTCGGAAGGCACTGATGGTTCAGATCATACAATATTTATTTTATCATCAGATGTCATTGTAAAACCTTACAGACCGTGTTCTCATTATTTGAGGTATGTGAACATTTGGATTCTCCATGAAAAGGGCTTTATAAGACTCATTTCATTTTATTGTAAAAAACCAGGAATGCAACAATGGAGGTCAGACTGCTCCTGGTATTTCAAACTAAACAGAATCAGGTCCCTTTTGTTCCAGATCTTTCCTCCTGGAGGCTTGATTTGTGCATTTCTGAATTCAAAATACATCCTTGAAGGCCTGGCTTGGAAAAAGAGGGGGAGAAATACATCCCTGTCCAATCAGTGCTTTCAGAGATATTAGGAATTGTCAAACTGAAAGGAAAATAAACAATAAAGAGCCAACTATAAACATGCAGACTCTGTACTGAAAAAATCTTGAATGAAAGACGAAGAAGTTCCAGCCAGTTGGTTGGCTCAAAAGAGCAGCGCCAGTTGCAAATATCTTGCAGCTCGATAATGTTCAAAACCTTCTCCCTGCTATTTATCTGTTCTGTCCAAAAGAAGTTGGTTCTTTCAGTCCCACCTTTATTCCCATGCCCGCTCACCTCCAAAAAAGATAATTGGGTTTTTAACAAATTAAGCATGCCACTTGTTGCTGCCATGTAGACCAGCAGCCTGATGGCTCCTTTCCCCTTTCAGCTGTTTGCCTGCCTGTCATTGCAGTTCAGCCTACAGCTTTGCCTGAATAGGAAGGTCACACGTGTGGCAGTGACCTGCTTGGTCAGGCCAGTGGCTGTGATATCATCAGGCTGCTCCTGTCTTCTGCTCTGCACCCAGCACTGTGTCTGCTGAGCAGAGAAGGACTATCAGAATCCTTCCTGGCTGCTTAGGAAATGCCTGTGGGTATATTCGTGGTTCATTGGTAGAATTCTTACCTTCCACGGAGAGCCCGGGGTTCAATTCCTGGCCAGTGCACGTTACACACAGTCACCAGGTGTTTGTCAGCGGAGGCTTGTGTGTTGCTATGACACTGAACAGGTTTCCGCAGAGCTTCTAGACTGAGACCGACCAGGAGGAAAGGCCTGGCAGTCTGCTTCTGAAAATCAGCCAGTGCAGAGCCTCTGGAGCACAGTGATCTGCTTCTGTTGTGTCTGGGGTCGCCGGGAGCCGGGCCTAACAACAACAACAGAGGAAATGCCCCCTGGAGTGTTCCTGTTGTTGTCCTTAGGACACATCTGAGTCGGTTTCATGGGTCAGAGTAGATGGGGCCAGTCCCCTTTCCAGTGCTGGGGAGGCAAACAGACAGACAGACAGTGCCTGTATGCCCCCCATTCTGAGGCCCCAGCAGAGGAATCTGCTGCTTCTTTGGGACTCACATCACAGACAGACATTGTTTGCTGCTGCTGCCTGGGTCTATATTGCTTTTCACACAGTGGAATTACATTCCGACAAAGAATCCCCCTGCTGGTTTACAGGCTCTGGGGGAAATGGATTCCAGTCATTTTTTCCCTTAACCACACAGCAAGTGACTAATGCTCTCCTGTCGCTGGTCTGGTCGCTGGCGGGAGCATCGTGACAGCGAGAGCGGCCCTGAAGGATGGTGGCGCGGACCACCGGGCTGGCGCGTTTCTTGAATCTGTCAGATGCTTCCCTTTGCTCACCCTCCTCCCTCCTCTCTCTCTCACTGTCTTCATTCCCAGCCGCTCCCATGTAATTCCCACCCTGTCTTCTCATTGCAGAATGGTGTGGTCCACCGGGACTTGAAGCTGGAAAATATATTGCTCGATGACAACTGTAATATTAAGGTAAAGCTCGTGCCTCGTTGATTGATATGCAAGACCTGGGTATAGCAGCCGGGTGGGGGCTTAACCTGCTCCCAGCTACAGCCTGGAAATAAGGCAGCCACTTCCTTCCCTGTCAGGCGGACGGGGAGAGTTGCTTGGCTCGAGCCCCTCAGTTCAGTTTCATCAATTACATTCAGCAAGCATTTACCAATCTCCGACTACATCCCAGACACTGATCTTCATATTGATCATGAAAGAGATGCCTAAGATACATACAGTCCCTGCCCTCGGGAAGCTCACAGTCTAGGATCAGCACCATAAAAATACCCATAACAACTAGCATAAATTTCAAGTCTCTATAATTTGCCTGATGTCATTTACATCCAGTTTTAACAACAGTCATTTGTGATAGATACTGTGATTTTGTTGCTTACTTTGGACGCCTTGTCAGGAAGGACCAATTGCAAGGAAAGGATACCGTGTTTGGTAAAGTGGAAGGCCGGTGAGAACAAGGGACCCTCAATGAAATGGATTAACAGAATAGCCACAGTGGTCGGCTCACACATACTGATGACCGTGAAGATGGTACCGAACTGGGCAACGGTGTGTTCTGTTATACAGCAGGTTGCTATGAGTCAGAGTCAACTCCATGGCAGCTAACAACAATAACAATATTAGTATCATTTCAAAGATAGAGAAGGTGAGGCACAGAGAAGTTAAGTAACTTGTCCGAGGTAGCACAGTGGTAAGTAGTGGAGTTGGGATTTAAACCAATGTCTGTGACTCATAAGCCAAGTTCAAATGACTGTACTTGGTTTGCTAGCAGGACCCCACATTACTTTAGAGTTGGAACTCTTTCTCTGGCTACGTTTCTCTCCCCTCCCCTCCTCTTGTCTCTTGCTTCTGTCTTCCAACCCCCCAACCCGGTAACCGTCCTCGGAACTGGGAAGCTCCCTGAACAGATGATAGCATTTGCCGTTGGGAAGCAGCAGAGCGTTTACTTTCATGGGGAGTGTTATTGCTGGCTGCTGCTGGAGCTGTGGAAAGCTTTCCTGGCCGATAGGGTTCAAGTGCCTCCCACAGAGTACCCTGAATGTCCTTTTGATCAGGTCTGCAAAGTAAGCAAATGCAGTTTCAAAATAAACAGAACTCACTGCTTGGGTTTCATTATGAAATGGCCTTAGTACTCCCGGCACCAGGGGGAGCCCTCCATTTGGCCTCTGGTGATGTTTGTAGCTCATCCTTGGTCCCCAGTCTAAGCATGGGAATGACCTTGCATCCTTCTCATCTGTTGTTGCTATCACTTGAGGGATGCATCATGAGGAGACTGTTTCCTTGCTGCAGGGATGGGGTTGCTTTGGTGTTTAGATTCTCTTTGCAACTATTAGTTACCATCATCCTTTGGAGAGACCCCTGGAAGCCATGTCTCAGTGACCTCTTCTTGTGGAATGGCCAGTACAGGGTCTCTCAATTTTTGGCAAAATGACTGGGCTATTTTAAAAGGAGCACTGGCTGTAGAGTCAGAATATTTTGGGGTTTGTGTGACTTGCTTAGTTGCTTGACATTGGAAGCCATTTCCTCATCTGTTAAATGGGGTAACAGTAATACCCACAGGCTTGTTTTGAGGCCAGAACAAAACACTCTGTTTAGCTTTTTGCACTGATGAAAAACCAGTTGCCATCAAGTCAGTTCCAACTCCTGGTGATCTCTTGTATATCGGAGTAAACTGTGCTCTATAGGGTTTTTAGTGGTTAAAGTTTTGGAACTAGATTGCTAGCCCTTCCAAAGCACCTCCAGTGGACTTGAACATCCAGACTTTGGGTTAGCAGCTGACCATGTTAAATGTTTGCACCACCCAGGGACTTCTGTGCACTGCTGACTACCATGCATACGGTTCAAAGTTAAAAGCAGTGGCTTTGGGGTTCAATACCCTTGGTTTGAATTGCAACACAGGCCCTTACCACCTGCAGGATTACAGGTGGATTACTTGCCCTATGGAAGCCTCAGTTTCTTCTTCTGTCAAGTAGGGATGCCAGTTCCTGTGCTGGGGACTGCTGTGTATTTGTTCATTCTTTGGATGAGTATTTCCTTACAAGTTACTATGTGCCATGCCCTGTGCCCAGTCCTGGGGAGTCAGTGACCACCATGAGGATTTTAGACAATATTATACATGAAGCCCTTAGCATTTAACCACTGTGCGAGCAATCTCCTTTAATGACTGTCCATCGGACAGAAGGAATTAAACAGAATGTCAGCTGCTTGAAGGTACCTGGGCCCTAGGGGTTGGTGTACAGACTGGGGCTAGAGAAATGGGTTCTGCTTGGAGGGCCACATTCTAAGGGTTTGTATCATTGACCCTGCGACTTTGTCTCCAGATTCTTCCTGCCACCTGCCTCCAGAGCTCTAAACACTAAGTGTAGTCTTTACAAGGCCTGGAATGTGAGCCTTTCGCCTGGGGATTGGGCTCTGTGGTACAGTGTGACCTCCTGGTCCCATGATGTAGTCCCAGAAGTGATAAGGCACATAGCTTTCTGCAGAGTCATAGAATTCCCGATGGAGGAGAAGAATGCTTAGAATTCTGAAGGCAATTGTGCAGGGAACAATAGGGCAGGAGCCTAGAAGCAGAGCTCATCTGTATAAGCAATGGGGCCAAGTCCTTCAACCCAGGATCCCTATCCATTATGTGGGGAAATAGCTCACACATAGACCATTAAAAAATTTTAAAGTGTGAGTAATATATTTTTATGTAGCTTTTCCTTATCAATTTCTACTGCTGGCATCTCCTAAGGTGAAACACACATACACCCCCCTACCCAAGCTGCAAACAGATACCAAATCCTTTCCATCCTCAACCAGTTGCTGTAGAGTCTATCCCAACTCATAGTGACCCCATGTGTGTCAGAATAGAACTGTGCCCCACAGGGTTTTAAATGTTGATTTTTCAGGAGTAGATCACCAGGCCTTTCTGCTAAGGTGCCCCTGGATGGACTCGAACCTCATCTTTTCGGTTAACAGCCAAGCACCTTAACCATTTGCATCACCCTGGGACCTCTCCCCTTCTCAAAACCCTTATATCCTTCCTTCTATTTGTTGAAGGAATGCTACTTGGATCTGAGAAAGAATTTTATCTTAGAGCTTGAAAGAACCTGGAGGGTCATTTTCCAACCCCTCCTTTTAATGATTAGGGCCCAGAGAGTCTGTGTGATATGCCCAAGATCACACGGCGAATCAGTAACAGAGTGTGTCATTGTGCCTTTGTTTCCTAGTGTGTAGCATGGTACGTGTACGTGGTAGGCACTGAAGAGATGTTTGTTTTTGGAGTGAAGGAATGAAGAGCCAGGATTAGAACTCACATTTTTGACTTCCAGGCGACTTCTCTTTTCATCATCTCACACCCACTTCCGAGGTTTTTTCAAATATGTTTCAGCTGCTGTCGATTTGTCTTCCGGCTGTATGTTCTCAGCTCTTCCTGACTCAGCATTTTGCTGGGACGTATTTAGAAAGGGCACTTGCTGACAGAAGCAGGCAGACACATGGTCACAAGCTGGCCTCCATGTTCAAGAGAGCCTGTGCCATCGGCATCTGGCCTAGGGGAGCCATTGACACTGATGGCCTCTTTCCAACCAATGGCAAATAGGCATTGAGCTCCTGTTCCAAAGTCCCCGCTGTGTCTCTAAATATGGATGCCCCTTCCACCTTTAAAGCATGGATGGCTTTTGCCCGGGAAGCCTATAAAGAGGTTTCCAGTTGAAACTTGTCACGTGTCACTGCAGTTTTGACGTGAGACATGTAGCTTGTTCCTTTTCCCTTTGCTGCCTGATGTTTCTTTGCAGAGAGCACATCTGGCATTGGGGATAATTTATCTGGCCCCTGTGAGAGGGTGTGGCTTCTAAAAATATTCACACAGTCGTCGGCGGCAGGAAGAATGAGAGCAATGTACCTCTTTGGGCTGCATTCTGAGCTCGGTGGAAGCACATCTACTAAAATAGACACCCGGCACAGCATTAATTTGCAATTAATAAAAACGGGCCAGATTCACATCCCACTCTCTGGGAGAATGGAATGCTGGTAATTCCCATAGAAGGCTCCTGTAAAAATGCCTCCCAGTCAGAAGAGGTCCAGGCACCAGGGTCAGCTGACCTCCTCAAAGAAGGCTGGGAAATTGGTGAGTTCCCAGAACTCAGGGGAGAGGGGCGTCTGTTGCCCCCGGTGACAATAGCAACAGCTGCTGTTGCGAAGAAGCAGCGAAGAAGCTTTGAATGGCCAGGGCCGAGGAGAGGTAGAGACATCCGGAGCTTAACAAGACCAGTGGGGCCACTCAGTGTCACGAGCCTCAGGGCTTTGATCACATGAATGTGAGGATTCAGCTTTCATTCCTTTGTTTGTTCATACATGTGTATTCATATGTTGTTGTTGTGTGCTGTCGAGTTAATTCCGACTCATACCAACCTCATGAGTAGAACTGCCTCAACAAAGGTTGTATTCTGGAGCTCTGGTAGCATAGTGCCTAAGGCACTTGACTGCTCACCAGAAGGCTGGCGGTTCAAACCCACCAACCACCCCTCAGAAAGAAGGTTGGGCTATCTACTTCCGTAGTGATACTGCCTCGGAAACCCAAGGAGGGGTTGCTATGAGTCGGATCCAACTCAACGGCACATAACAACAGCAACAACACAGGGTTTTCTTGGCTGTGATTTTATGGAAGCAGATCTCCAGGTCTTTCTCCTGCAGAACTGCGGAATGGGTTCTAACAGCTAGCTGAGCGCTTAACTACTGCACCATCAGGGCTCCTTATATAGTCATCTAGATAAATATACATATACATGTGTGTATGTGTTTAAAAAACTCAGAAGGAAGACTGGGCTCTCTATTTCCGTAGAGATACCACCTCGGAAACCCAAGGAGGGGTTGCTATGAGTCAGAATATACAGATATGTGTGTGTGTGTGTGTGTGTGTATGTAGATATGTGGATATACATACACATGCATATATATGTATATGTTCATGCCTGCCTGCATTC